TTTTGTATTTTTCTCTATACTAAATTTCCAATGAATCATGAAAAAGGTTTAGAAATATAGATCAGTGAAATTGGAACATTAAATTTGGGTGCTATATTTAGAAACTTTGGCCAATTTTTCGGGAAAATTTCACTTTACGGTAACTAAATAAAATGTCGATTTTTCGACTGGAATCGATAGATCTCGTCGAGTTCTATCATTTCCAGTTGAAAAAACTATTGGGACTGCGCTTCAAAAAAAGTTATAAACATTTTAAATTGTCTAGTTCACTTTTTACGGTAATCTATAGTTTAAATCTCGGATTTTTCGACTGGAATCGATAGATCTCATCGAGTTATCGCGTTCCCGTTTGAAAAAAAACGATTGGGACCTGCTTTTAACGAAGAGTTATACACGTTTAGTAGTTGGTTCACTTTACGGTAACCTCGGAAAATGCGATTTTTCGCCTGGGATATATAGATCTCATCGAGTTCTTGCATTTACAATTGAAAAAACCTTTGGGGAAAGTTGTTCGGAGGAGGCTACACTCATATTTTTGGCATTTGACTGTGACATTGTCAGGCAAGTCGGGCCGTCGCTTCCGGATGGGCTGCCGCTCCGCTCTTTCGAAATGGGGCGCCCCGGCCGCTTCCGCCGGCCTTGGCGCCCCATTTCGAAACCCTCTACGAGCTCGCGCCCATCCGAAGCGACAAGCCCCCGGTGGCACGAAGCCTTTCTAGTCGCAGAGCGGAGGGAATGTGGTCACTTCCATCCAAATTGAGTGACTCCTGTTGCAAACCGTCTTTGATGTTTCAGAAATTCCGAAAATTCGGAGGAAGTGCAAAAATGTGTGCTAATTAAAGTTTTTCCCGTGCCTTGCGCAGCGACCCTCGTATTTGGTACCCCAAGTACGTTCTAACTATACAGTTTTTTGCCGTTACAAAGGAGTCCCTCGTAGCCGAAACCGACTTTTTCCGATGCGGGGTGACTTAATGGTTTAAAACAGCTATAACTTTTGTTAAAAGCGATTCCCAATCGTTTTTTCAACGGGAAACGCGATAACTCGATGAGATCTATCGATTTCAGTCAAAAATCCGGAGATTTTATTTAGTTACCGTGTAAAGTGAACCAGCCAATTTAAAATGTTTATAACTTTTTTTAGAAGCGAGTCCCAATAGTTTTTTCCAACTTTGGAAATGGTAGAACTCGACGAGATCTATCGATCCCAGTCGAAAAATCGACATTTTATTTAGTTACCGTAAAGTGAAATTTAGCCAATTTTTCACTAGACCATATCTTAAAAGCGCCATAATCATAAAATCATATAGTCACAGACCCGACTTTTTTGAAACAATATGTTTCATGCTCGCGTTGGGTACAGTGATACAAATTTGCGTAATTCGATGAAATTTCTCCTCCTGGTTAAAATAAATTTAAAAAGGCCATCATTCAAACCATAAACATTCCCTAAACAACAAACAGCTAAAAAATCGATAGTGGTCGTGTAGAAGAACAGTGTTTCTGAAACCCATAATCCCGCGTGGGTCAGTTTATCGGTAGTGCAAACTTCAGCCAAATTAGAGAAAGATGCCACAACAAAGCAGTTGATTGATGAGCAAATTAAACCTGGATTATTGGCTATCGATAAAACACATCTTTTCCAGATACGGCTGCTGCCCCGATGGAAAGACGCTGGCCAAGGGACATCACAATGAGGGCTGCGGGTGTGAATTTGCTCAGTTCGGATGCTGCCCTGATGGAAAGAGCGTCGCCAGAGGAGCCGCTTTCTATGGATGCCCCGATACTTGTGCTCAGAGTAAGAGAATTCATAAGAAATTGGACTAGAATTGAAAAGAATCTCTCTCTTTCGCTTTCTCCCTCTCCCTCTCTCTCGCTTCCTCTCTCTCTCTCTCTCTCTCTCTCTCTCTCTCTCTCCATAGCGTTCCCCGAATAAAATTCGTGAACTTTTCAAAGATATGTTTTGAAAAATTCATGGATTAGCAGCAACCAGCCTATTTTTAATGGGATACCGTTTCGAACGCGCTAATAAATGAAAACTAAACTTTTGTCACCCCATAAATTTACTCTTTCGAACAAATGTTTTAAAAATTCTTGTGCAGTACCGAGCGTGCATGAGCTTAATTAACGGCAAGGTGCTGCTATAATTGGTTTTCTTTGGGGTGCGGAGACATTTAATTGGACTCTCAGGCCTGAATTAGCGCTCTTTTTCTCTCGTTTCCTCTCTCTCTCTCCCTATCGCTCTCTATCGCACTCTACCACTCTCTCTCCCTACCCCTCTCTCTCTCTCTCTCTCTCTCTCTCTCTCTCTCTCTCTCTTTTCCAGCTGTTTGAATCGTGGCAAAAAAATGTTTCTAAAATATGGTGGTTAAGCCAAGCTTGTTTCAACTAATGAGGTCCTGAGTTTCTGGTTCATTAAATTGTCGCCAATCGGTAATGCTAATCCATCTACTACCAATAATAAAAATAATAAACGAAATTAATATTATATATTGTATTGATGGATCATATATTGTTTAATTTCGTGAATTTAACGTTCTGCGTTTTAGGCCAATACGGTTGCTGCCCGGACGGAAAGACGGGAGCCCGCGGACCGAACAGGGAGGACACCCCTCACCGGTATACTCGATATGGATGTTGCCCAGATGGCGAAACGACAGCTCTTGGACCACGATTGGAGGGATGCAACGATTGCCGATATGCCAAGTGAGTTGATAAACAAAGTTTTTTAATCGAGTCGGGAGGGGTAAATAAAAAAATTATGAGGAAAACAGTGTAGCCGCTGCTAATTAATTTATCGAGTCTTGACGGTTGCTGTAATTTTGGTGAAACAAGCTTTCTCAACCCAAAGCCTTGTACAACTAAAAATTTAACAAAATAAAAAGTTTAGTTAGACAAAGCAATAGCAAAATAGCTAACAGGAAATTTTGACTTTATATCGTATTGCTTGGGGATTTATCTAATTTGCCGAATTTCAGGTACGGTTGTTGCCAAGATCAGGAAACGAAGGCGCTCGGCCCGAACTACCAAGGTTGCCCATCCACCACTCAGATGCCGTTCAAGCGCGGAGGTATCGTTTTATATGCATATTAATACTGTTATGTACAGTATTATACATAGTGAGTTATTTGTTTATGTCCTTCATTATCAAGCCTGTTGGAGAAAAGTTATCAGAAAAAATGTTTCTGCGAATGGTGAAAGTTTGGAAACAGGAAAAATGACATTAACGTGTACAACAGGATGCTATAAAAAAAAAGTAAATGCACGAGATCTATCGAAAATTTAAATTTTTTCGAACTACATCGAACTATCGAAATACTTATTTCATTATTTCGAAAAATAAAGAAAGATTTGGGTTCTCTAAAGTTGCAAAGTAAAGATGTTTCGTGTCAAACCAGCGATTGCATGAAAAAGCCTTGGCCAATAAAAAAGTTGCATCCATCAAAATAAATAATTTTGGTATTTAATTATTTTTTGCCGGGATTAATATAAAGTCATAACAGTTAAATAAGCGCTACTTTAATCCATATTGAGGTTTTTTAACTTTTTGTATTGTTATAGGTTGTTCCGATACTTTGAAATCGTTAGCAGCGATCAAATTTCCGGTCAAAATCTTTGTGCTAGAAAATTTCACCAGGGATTATAAATTGTAGTAGACCTGGGAATACATTATTGTAAAAAACTTACCTTTTTTTGAGGATCTCCAGATCACTTAAGCCTTTTGAAAAAAGATGTTTTGGGTAAAATATTTGCGGGTAGTAACAATGTTTCACAACTAGTGTTCTGTCTGCCGATTTCTCGACAAAAAATTAAAAGGTTTTACATTAATTTAAGGAGGCTTGTATCCACTTTCCATAATATAAAGGATGTACTTTTTACGCTAAATTTACCCCATTCCAGGAGTATCGTCTCGCCACCAATGATCAGGCATGTGACCCTGCCGAGGATAAGGGGATCCGTCTGCGGCTCCGGATACAAGCTGGTTGGTTTTTTTAAATAAGCTTTTACGGTTACAGGGTGCTTGATTATTGCCATTAAATACAAATTGACAATTCCTCGAGAAAGCCTTAAAACTCGCCTGTAACTAGCAAAAAAATTAAAAAATTGGTTGTGAAAAAATGTTGCGCCTCAAAATGTAGTTGTTTTGGTTAATCGAGCTATCTGACGCGGCAATAATTCTGATTGTATTTTTCGCACCGTTAACTTATTTTGCTGGCTAATATGTTTTCCCGATCAATCCAACATATCCGAAGCATAAAAAATAATGTTTCATGAAAATGTCAAAAATTGCAAATCCGCATTGCCGATTATGATGCCGTATTTTTCGATAATTTAGTGATTGTGTTTTGGTTGAGCTCATTACGGTCTTTTCTACACCGACAAATCAAAAAATGTTTCAGCACAATTTAAAGGGATACCGACGGCATAGTCAGTCGGTTACGCGCTGGAAAGAAAATGCCTCTGCGCCTCTCCCCAGGGCGCGCTCTCTGCCCTGTTGGCTACTTGCCAATTTGTTGATGGGGGGGGGGGATCGACACATGCCGTCGGCAGCCCTTTAAAAAGCAAGAAAAATATTTAAGGGGAATCGGCGTACGGAATAAGCGCAAGTTTTTCCGGTTAATGAACTACAGGGTGTCCCAAAAAAAAAGACACCGGCCGCATTTCTCTATTTCGGGTCCGATCAACTTGAAATTTTGCACTGGGGTAGCGAAGCCAATTTCCCATGAACACAGAAAGTTTCAGCCCCATCGGTCAGCGGATTTTAAAGTTATAACGAAAATACTTTTTAATTTTTATTTAATATGGGGACTTCTGCGATTTGCATCAAAAATGTGCGTAATTTTGTCATTTACGAGCTTATTTTGCATAATTTTTGCCGAAAAAGGCCATTTGCTGTTTTTCGCTTCGTAAGAACGATCTATCAAACTATCAAAAACTATCAAAAACAGCGCCGCAGGCGAAAATTTTTGAAAAACTTAGGGCTATGACAGTAAAAACAGTCTTAAAAACAATTATAAAAGCGCCGCAGGCAAAAAAATTTTCACGAAAAAAAAATCATAAGGGTCCCCCCTTATGAATTTTTCGGCCTTCGGCCGATTTTGGGGGGCAACTTGCGCTGCCCCCCTTCCTACGGGCCTGAACATATGTTACAATGCTGATTTCTTATATCTGACGGTTTTGTGGATCATTTTTACTTCCCATGCGCAATCGTTCTTACGAAGCGAAAAACAGCAAATGGCCTTTTTCGGCAAAAATTATGCAAAATAAGCTCGTAAATGACAAAATTACGCACATTTTTGATGCAAATCGCAGAAGTCCCCATATTAAATAAAAAATAAAAAGTATTTTCGTTATAACTTTAAAATCCGCTGACCGATGGGGCTGAAACTTACTGTGTTCATGGGAAATTGGCTTCGCTACCCCAGTGCAAAATTTCAAGTTGATCGGACCCGAAATAGAGAAATGCGGCCGGTGTCTTTTTTTTTGGGACACCCTGTAGATGAAGTTAATTCCAAAACGATGCTTCTAGTTTTAATAAATGAACGTAATGCATTTGTGGTACTACGGGACACCCTTACTATTCTTACTAGTCCATAAACTACACGGTACTTTTCGATAATTTATTGATTTTAGTTTGGTTAGCTCGTTACGGAATATGCACCAACTCACAAATAAAGAAAATGTTTCGGTAAAAATTAAAAAGCGTGAAAAATATGGCAAGTCAATAGGCATAAACTTCGGGGTCTATAAAAGCGCCAGTTTCACTTCGAACTTTAAGTTCGTCTAAAATAATTTTTTCACATAATTGAGCGTTTTGCAGTCGTGGTACTACGACACGGCCGAGGGGACGGTGCTCGCAATTCTGGTACGGCGGATGTGACGGCAACCAAAACCGTTTCGGCACCGAGGAGATGTGCAAGGAGGTCTGCGTCGAGCCCCCACAGAAGGGTACGTTTACGTTTTTGAATCAATTCGTATTTAAAAATATATAACGCTATTAAAATCAATTAAAAACGTTAAAATTCCACAGTTCGAGTAATTTCTACAAGAGACTGGTAAAACAAGAAGCTTCAATCGCAATTAAGATAATTCCCAAACTGGAATTTAAAGGGGCTAAGGGCTACGGTTTACTTTACCGCCCCCCCAGCCGGAAGTTTTTGGCTATAACTTTTTTATTTTACATTATTGTGGGCTCAAATTCATACTCTTAGTATATTTTTCGACGCTCTATCGAATGGCGTTGCAAAACCCCGACAAAATAAGCGAAAATACCGACAACTTTGAGACCCTTGGCTGTGGGGGGGGGGGGGGGGGGTAAAGTAAACTCTTACCGGCTAAAGCTCATTGATGCAGCCAAGTTTTTGTTCGGGTACCACTAAAGTTTAAAACATATTTTTTATAAGCACCTTCCAGGATAACAAAAATTACAGTTATTAATCGTAACCAGGGTTGAAAAGCCGCTTCGCGACTTTTCAACCCTGGCCCCGTATAATCCCATGAAATTCTACCCTTTGCATAAATCGCCCGAATTTGTCATAAGAAATAAGGAAAAACGCTCCCTCTCTCCCATTATATAGGCAATCGCCACTTCCGGTGCATGCTAATTTTTTCCTAACAAAAAGGGAGCCCGTTTTTTCAAACAGAAAACCAATTTTAATGTTGAAAATAAGATGATTTGCAAAATCTTATAAGTGTGCAGTCATCTCGGGAGCATTACGCACCTTATGACGTATCATACGTATCTTAAAAACCTTCCACTATCGAGATACTACTGGAACACGCTGACGGAAGTTGCATGCAAATGCACACACACACACACACACACAGAATCTATTTTTTTTATATATAGTAGGATTATTCAGCAAAACGCTTATACAGGAGGTCCCAAAAAAAAATCCCCCTAGCCGGCCGCACAACTGTCGGATTTTCACGATTTAGGTATCTATCGAAAGCTCTCGGAAAGGCCAGTCCAGCACGTCTATCCGATTCTTAAAATTGTAAATGTTTCTATCATTTACTAATGTTTTTTTACGAAACGCGCGGATTTTCGGATGTTTTCTGACCAAGGGGTGTTTTTTGACAACGACATATTTTTTCTAAAGTTAGGGATCCAAAAAGCAAATGTGTACTTTAATTTTAAAAGTATTTTGGAATAGTTGCGTAAGTATGGTCAATTAATACACCATTTCCAGGCCGCTGCTACCTGCCAAAGAACGAGGGACCACTCCGTTGCGACTCGCCGACCGCCCGCTACTACTACGATCACAACACGCGACAGTGTGCCGCTTTCTGGTGGAGAGGATGTCTCGGAAACGCCAACAACTTTGACAGCTGGGAGGAGTGCTCCGTGAGGATTTTCCAAGAATTTTGTACAAATTTAATGTTGCAACGAAAATCCTTGAGATTTGGCTCAAGGTGCTCTTCTATTAATTTTAAATTTTCGATTGCTTTATTACTAAAAAAATCGATGCAATGTCAATCTGACAAACATCATCGAATATTCTTCACAATTGGGCAAGAATTAATTCGATTTCATAGGAAATTTTTTGAAATAGATTTTTTGTGGAGATCATAGATTCGTGCACTAATTATTATTAACAGCAATAATATACTTTTCCAGACTTTCTGCAAGGACATCGGACCGCTGCCCGTCGAGCCTGTCACTGAAGCCCCCAGGGCACCCGAGCCACAGGTAGTTTTTGAATTTTTTAATTAGATCTCTTTCAAACCAGTTAAATATTTATTAAATTAAATCGCACTATAATTCCGTTGATTGCTCTATAATTTCGACACAATTGATCAGTATTGACTGAAGCACATTTTTTCTAGCACGATCTGGTGTTGTAATGGAACATACCTTGAATTCTTATGCTATCATAATTTTTGCTGAAGTTATTGCGGTAGCTCTTACAATTCAAACTCTTGCAATTACATTAGCCATTCAATCAAAAAAATTGGAATTTGGAAAAATCTGCTTCAAAAAATATAGGGCTGCAAAGAAAAATGCGGCGCCCAATTCCCTAGCGTTTTCTTTGCTTCTTTCGAAAGCGTATTTTTAAATTTTTAAATGGATGGGATTGCACTAAAAAATTTCAAAAGGCATAGTAAAAATTTTACTTTTCATCAAGCTTGTCAGAATTTTGAAAAAAAATATGCTTTAAAAAGGTACGAGTTTACGGGGACATTTTTCCGGTTGATTCCGCGAAGAAAACATCGTAAAAGTTTTCCTTTAACGCTTTCCAAATTAATTATACAAAGCTAGCTATACAGTTTTTGATACTATCCGTATTACATTATCATAAATCAATTCACTTCCAGTTCGACGTGCGCCCAGCCGCGGAACAACAACCCGCCCAGCCGGTACGCGCTGATGCCAAGGACACGACTCGCCCGGCGCCGCCCACAATGGAGGAGATCTGCCGATCGACCGCCGATTCGGGCCCGTGCACTGAATACAAGGAGAGATGGTGGGTGTTTTAAAGGGGATGTGACAGTTGAGTTAAACGGGATAGTTTCAAAATGTCGAAATTCTGAAATTCAAAAGTCATAAATTCGATATTTATATAAGCAAACATTCCGGAAATACATCAAATTCTAGCTAATTTACAGTCGATTGATTCTGGCTAAAAGATGTTGCACAATTCAGAGCGTAGTCCCGAGGTTTTTGTTACGTAGTTGGTGGTTTTTTGCAGCTCAAAAATAGGACCAGGCAGGCATGAATTACAGCCCTCTGCCTTGTTTTTTATTAATCGCTTGTCCGTATAGCTCTTCCGCAAACTTTTCCGTCCTATTTGACTCTTTCAAGTCCATATAAAATAAATTGTTTCACGCAGTACGTAAAGTCAAAAATATTTTAGCCGGTTAATTCTTCCTGGCGGCTCATTTTAAGAAATACCTCCAAAACAAAAACTGGAAGAAAACGTATTGGTTTCCAATCGATGAGACGCAGCAAATATATTTGGTATTCATCGCAGTTATTTTAATTAATTGGTGTTCGTTATTTCAATGTGTGTTTCGGAAGCGCTAAAAAAGATGTTCTGCATCCCCGGGGGTGCCTCCAGCTAATCCTGTCCAAAGAAAAAAGAAAAAATGACGGAGAGATTAAAAAGGGAAAATGTAATAAATATATTGGGTCTTTCGCATTACCGAGGGGCAGGGCATTTCTGTATTTTACTATTTCTGGGCGCAAAGACATAACAAACTTGCATTAACAATACAAAATATAGAGTTTTCGACTAAAAATGGCCATTTTCGACTCCAATTTCTATTTTCTTAGATTTCGATCAATTTTGCCAATTGAAATATAGTTTAGTAAGAACGTTATTAAAGAACCTACTATTACGTTAGTTCGTTTTCATTCGTCACCCCCGATAATGCGAAAGAACCAGTAATTAAAAATGAATAAAATTTCAGATTATTTGAAAATAATGTCAATTTAACTCAGTAAAAATAAAATAAATATTATACCGCTCCAAAGTTCCTACTAAAAAATACATACCAATATTATATATGTTTTTCTAGGCACTATGACGCCACCTCCGGCCAATGCCAAACGTTCACCTACGGTGGATGCGGAGGAAATCTGAACCGCTTCGAGTCGCGCGACGAATGCCACAGGAGATGCTCATTCTTGCAGGGTGGACAACAACAGCAACAGCAACAACCCCGAGGAGGACAGCAGCCGCGTGAGTGATGTTTGAACTTTTAAAGGAATCGTGGCAGGAAAAAATGGCTAATTCGCGCGCGGCAACTAGCACCTATTTCGAATTTCAAAAGATTTGGTGACGATTATTTTGTAAAATATACATCCAGATATTTTTTAAACGAGACGAATTATAATAGCGCTAGAAACCTATTTTAACTAGGCACAGAGCTGCTTTGCATTGACGAGAAAGATGTTCTGCGAATATTGAATATTCTTGAAACATTTTAATTTTCCGTGTACATCTTTTTCAGGGCAACCATTCGTCATCAAAATTCCATAGTTGTGCAATATTTTTGATAACTATGTGAATTATAGTATCACCATTTTTAATTGCCTAATTAATTTATCTAAGTTTATTCATATCGCCACAACAATACCGTGCAAAAAACACACAAGACGGGGGAAAAAGGAAGGTAATAGATGCAGGAAAGTGTCGTGAACATTAAACATTTTTGAAACATTGACCTATCGACAACACAGCCTTTTTTATTAGCGTCAACAGTAGTCATAAAAATTGCATAAATCTAATCATAAAACCAACATAAATCAACATAAACAACAGTAGAGCAAGCTGTGTGGGATGGTAGAATGCAGTTTTTAGAATTTATTTTAGAAAAATCCTATGCCAGATTAAAGAACAGGTTTTCACATACTTACTTTTTCTCAATTTTGAGGATCTTATGGTGCATTACTTTACTTCCCCTTTCTCAGAAATTCGTCAAAATTTCCGGAGGGTTTCCTGAACTTGTACAAAAATTATGTTTCTGTTAAATTAGCGGTTTTCGCCTTTCCGTGATTCATAATAAGACGCTGCTAAATTGCCGCTTCCGAATTTGGTAAAAATGTGCTTTTTTGCAAAAATAAGAATCTACGAATTTCACTAATCTCTAATAGACAGTGTGGGCTAATGCTCATAAAGCAAATATCATCAGTTTGCCAAGAATTTTCCGAGCGCCGGATATTTCGGGAAAAATGTGTTTCGGTCACAGGTCACCTTGCGAACTTGCGTAATCTCCAGTTAATTTGATGTAACTATCCACAGTATAACCTTCTGAATTCGCAAAAATTTTCAAAAAAAAAAAATAAAAATACAAGCCATTTTTTTACTGAAAAATGTTTTGGCAATATTACCAGTTGGGGCAGCACTGTGGATAATATTAGGTCCTCGGGGTTACCATTTGATTAAACGCATCAAAATCCGGAATTTCAGTTTCCCTTCAACCCGCCGACCCGCGCGCCCAGCAGCCCCAGCAGCCAGCCCAACAGCCCGCGCAAAGTAAGTTTATTTTATGGGGTCACCTTTACCTTTAAAATGTGTCTGAGCTACAGTACTTGCAACCAAAGTATTTGTACTTACAGTATTTTTTATCTACAGTACTCGTCCTGGAAACTCCCCGCATTTTGTGTCGTTTTGGAGTGCATTTTACCAAATGTTTGTCTTGTCCGTTTTTAGGGTCGCGGAATTTGGTGTGTTTCAGCAATGTAGTGGAGTTTTTGGATTAAGGAAAAGATTAATTATAAAAAATTTGCAGTAAAATACGAATAATAGGACAGGTCGCGGTTTGGTGACGGTAGCACCGTTTTGGTGAATAGCAGTATTTCGGAATCTCCCATGGACCTTTGGCTCACTACTCTTGCTATATATAGCAGATAAGGTTATTGTTTCGAAACATCATTTTTTTTATCCAAGTATATCAAAAGATAAGTAATTAATTAAGAGGCGTAATGTAAATATATCATATTTAAAAATACGCATTGATTTTCTAAAAGTTTAACTTTTCCATTTTTATCGAAAATTGGGCACTTAGAACTAAAAATAAATTCGGATTATTTAAGTGTCGATTAATCAGGGGATTTTTACAGTAATTCTCTGTAATATAAACAGTTTTAAAAATGGGGTTTTTCGGGCTATAAAAAGTAATTAGTATATGTCTCAAATGTGTCCGTCCCGACCTTTAACAATTACCGTAACCCCTAGGGGACCATATTACGACACAACCCTCCGTCTCGGATGAACAACAACGACGAGCTGAAGATGAACAGCGACGAGCTGAAGAAGATCAGCGACGTGCTGAAGAAGAGCAGCGACGCGCCGAGGAAGAACAACGCGAAGCGCACCGCGCGCGCTGGGAGCAGGAGAGGCGACGACACCAAGAACGACAACGTCTGGAAGCTGCTCAGACAACCGCGACGCGACCGCCGACGCAGCCGCGTCGTGACCCGGCCGTCGACCCCGAGCTGTTGACTGACGATCGGAAACTGGAGGTCAACGCCGCCGGCCGTCCCTACAAATCCTGTAAGCCACGCCCACTTGCGTGGCCCCGCCTCTACACCGCTTCGGATTGTCTGTCTCTATCTGTCTCTATGTTAATTTTTTCGATTTTTGCATGTTGCCACGCTCCCTTGAATTTTGATGCTAGTTTTTCCTCTCGCCCTGTCGATAACGGTTTGGATGGGAGAGTATTTTTGGGTAGTAATTGGCAATTTCAAACCCGCTAAAAATTCTCTAATTCTGGCAGATACAATAACGTTATAGGATGCCGTTTAAAACCCAAACAAAACAAAATTTTTGGAAATAATGTGTTTTTTGAAAGTCCGATTTCAAGACTGGCAAGATGCCGCGCTCATGCGCTACCGAGCGAAAATGCAGAATTATCATCAGTACATTTCCTTTCTATGAATTTCTCTGCATTTTACAGGGTCTATAACTGAAAAAAATTCCTGAAGATAAAATGTTTGTGTAGTTCATAAAAACATAAACTATATCTACCGATTGGTAGGCAGCTAGGATTGATAAGAGGTAGGTCCTAGAATTTTGAGAGTTTTTCGAAAGCTAAACCGAGCACGAATATCATTCATACGGCGTTCTAACCAGCAATATTGTCGAAACACATCTTTTTGATAATTCTGAATTTTTGGAAAAAATATGCAAAAACTTTTTTCGGCTCAAGCCTAGATTTTTTATATAAATAGTGGAAGTGTTTCTAAATTGCTTAAAGTTATTCCTAAGCATACAAACTTTACAAAATTTAATTAAAAAATGACAAAATTTGTGACTTTTTCAAGCGTTTTTCTGGCTTTTAAAAAGTTTTTCCTATTAAAATAGGCTTGCATTTTGCTAAAAACAATGTGAAAACACTTTATATTTGCTTACTATGCCCACCAGGGCAAACAGAAAAGAATAGGTTCCCTACTTGAGATACAAAACTATCACGGCTTTGCACATTCTAGTAGCGCGGATAAAAGAAACACAGTTTTCAAAAAAATGCATTTTAATAATAACATTTTTCCATGAACTGGAAACGTTCCTAGTTTAGTTAAGTATTTTACGACGTAGTAAATATTAATGCTAATAGTGGCATGACGTAGTAGAAATATTGTTAAACCCTAATAAATACCAATAAAAATGCCAACCTCCTCTTCCAAGCCAAGCATGCGCACGTTAAAAAATGCATGTTCTATCCCCTCGTTGCTTCGAAAGATGCCGTATTATCTTTAGTATGTTGAAAAAAGTTCGGTCTTCAGAAAAATAGTTATACGCTTCCATACTAAAGCTAATACGGCATCTTTATTAAATATACCTATCCCTTCATTGGCATGTTCTCCGATTTTCAGCGTCTTCAACATCCGGAAAATCGCGTGAAGCCTGCCAACAGCCGGTAGCCTCCGGAAAATGCTCGGGCTCCTTCCAAATGTGGTACTACGAGCCTGGGACCGGCGCCTGCGAGCAGTTCTCGTACTCGGGCTGCGGAGGCAACAACAATCGCTTCAACTCCCGCGCGTCGTGCGAAGCGCTCTGCGTCGCGCGCGCTGATGATGCGCGTCGCCCGGCGGCTGGCCAGGAGGTCTACGTCGCCCCGGCTAATGGTAAATATCGAAAACATCATGAATTTTACAGAAAGATTGACTGATTCAATCTGGCTAATTAAAGCTGGGCAGAAAGCATTTCACAGTTTTCATCTTAAGTTTGTAAAATTTCATGCGAAGATTTACCACTAATTGTTTTTTCTAGTCGCCTGCACTAATGGGAAAGACATGAAACATGGATTTTTGGGGTTCGCAATGCAACGGTTTATGAAACACGACAAAGAATTTGTGGATTCCCCCCTTAGATTAGCTAGAAAATTTTATTTTTACGGCGCCTCGGCTAAACGAAAAAAATAAAACGGTGTTTTCGCGTAAAGACCAGAACAAATTCAAGCGCAAGACTGAATTTAGCTTTCTGAGTCAAAGCCACAAATTTGCGAAACATTTAATTATCCTTTTAATTATCCGGCCGTTGCTAACGGTACACCCGTAAAGAAATAAAACATAAATTTTCTGGAAAACCAAAATTCTGATCGAATATCTAGATTTTCATCCAGTTTTTAAATTGTCGCAGACCTTTGATTTTTTTCACGTCTCGGTGGTAATTCGATTGTATTTAAACAATATCTATGTCGCGACGTCGCGTAAAAATTGAGGAGAAAAAAGGGCAGTGAATGAATATGCTCTAGGAGTTCTAGATTTCGGGTCTACCGAAACATTTCATTTTATTTATCCTAATTTTAGTTTTACTTCAGTTTTGATCATACGTGAATCGCAAAAATCAGCGATTTCTCCAAGCTAAGGCAAAAATTTTAATGTTTCAAGGCCAGGGGATAGCCGCGCATTGTGATAAAAAATTAATAGACGGAAAAAATTTAGGGTTTTAGCTTATAATATGTATTGGAACTAGATTTTGAGTTATTATCGATCAGACGATTTTCGATCCGGCGATTTTTCGATCAGGTGACTGGGAATCCGTTTTACCCAGCAGCAAAGCCTCCCTTGCATTAGAATTTTTTCTCCACTTTAGATACCTCTAGAGCATTAAATTCTTGAGCAAAATTTTCGAAAAACGAAACCCTAATATCACAATAAATATGCAAATTAAAAATTCTCGAAAATTATTAATCGGAAATCTTGGCGTTTCAGCAAAATCGATAAAACGGCTTTAAAGTTTTCAATTAATTTAGCCTTTAATCAAACCATCAAGAATTAATTAGGTTTCAAAACCAGCCATACAATAAAAAATTGCGATAAAAACTTTAATCAAACCATTTAAATAAAGCTAAATAGTGTTAATTTCATATGCAAATTTCCTGGCATGTGCCCGCTTTCATTCCCTCTGGCGCAATTGAGAATGCCCTTCAAAAAAAGCATGCCTTCCCCCCTATTTTGCACGCTGGCTATCGTATATTTAGGGCTGTATAATTTTGTATAATTTGTGAACAGCCGTAACCCTGGTATTTTAGGGGGTGGTCCCGGCGCGAACTCGCTCTGCGACGAGAACAAGGAGACCGGCCCGTGCACCCAGTTCCAGACAAAGTGGTACTACAACAAGGCTGATGGCACTTGCAATCGGTCTGTTAATTTTATCTTTACATTTGTTAATTCTTGTCAAATATCAGCTTCTTATCAATCAAAATAACTTTTAAAAACAGGACAATTGTTGTAACAATAAAAGGTACAAAATTTAATTTCAGATTCCACTACGGTGGCTGCGAGGGAACCGGCAACCGCTTCGACACCGAGCAGACGTGCAAGGCCGCTTGTAGAAGCACCAGGTGGAAGTGAAAAAAAAAAAAAAGAAATTTTTTAAAAAAAAAAAAAGGAAGGAAACAAGGGGATATTTTTCGAAATGAATAATGAAATTGGTTTTAAACGTTTCGCAGTTGTTAGCCGTTTTTGCGTTCTTGGGCTTGGTTAATGGGAATTGAAAATGAGTTTTCATTTGAAAATTGAAGCGTGGACGCTATAAACCCAGTGACTACTCGTCTTAAATCAATATATTATATCGGATGCTAATGGTATTAAGCTATATCAATAGTCACAAAATTCAATATAGAAATAGAGGAATTTTCAATAAGAATTAAAGGAGGATATAGGGATTCTGATTTTCAAACTATACTAATGGTATTAATATACACTACTTGCCTATGAATTTAGGATATCTTTTTACATTACATATGTCTCTTAATCGGCAAAAGGTATATTAACGGGGGAGAGCAATTCTGATGGATAATTGCAGAACTGAACAAAGGAGAAATAAAATGTTTCGGTTATTATTGCATACAAATTTTAGTAAAAGCGATTAATTATAAATGCGAAGCCGGTCAATTATTTTTTCAGAAAAAATTAATCTACATTTATCTAAATTGTTTTTAAATTACGGATATATCTTCTTTATCTAGAGTTATGTTAATCGGAATAAAAATGGATCAAATTTATTCCCTATTCAGCCGTAATTAGGGATAGTGCGTAGTATTCTTATACTGTATGAATTGTATTAATATTATATTAATGGAATTTTTAGTTTAATTAATCTATACAACATTTGCTATTTTTGTATTTTCAGACCCTTGCCAATTGCCGAAGGTGCAGGGCCCGTGCTCGGGCAAGCAGAAGAACTTCTTCTTCAACACGCACACCCGCCAGTGCGAGGAGTTCGTCTACGGTGGATGTCTTGGGAACACCAACCGGTGAGAGATTTTGAGAAATTGTGCGATTACATTTCCCGGACAAGAACAAGAAGAATATTGCCAATCAAAAAAGTCGAAAATGTTTGAAACATATGTTTCGGAAAAGACTTGTACTAAAAATTTTCTGCATCGCGACTTCGACAGTGCTTCAATGCCAAAATTTGCTTTGAATCTTCATTATAAAACCAATAAACTACTACAAAATTAAAATAGCTACTCAATCACAGAGAATTTCTTGATTTATTCAGTTTTTCGGTGATCCAAAAATTGGTTCCAACTAGGCCTTTTTCATACTTGTATGTTTTTACATTTGACATGCCTCAAAAACTCCAGTCGGCATGATAGCTTTAGAAAAAACTAATTTCCATTTAAATCCAGAAACCAGACTATCAAAAAACGTTCAAAACTATGTTTCATAAAAAGTCCACAATCAAAAATTTGCTTTTATGACAATACGTCTAGAGCCTGCGTTGGAATCAAAAATTGATTTTTGTTAACCAACAATTTAGCGCCACCGTGAGATATTAATGCCCCGACCGGACCGTACATTTAATTAACTTTAAAATAAAAAAATTTATGATTAATTAAGTTACCAAATGGTTCAAAAATAAGGCTTACTTTAGTTAACGCATCGAAATACCGCAGCGAATAAAATAAAATAATAAAAATAAAGTTTCTGGAATTATATTAGTTAATTACGCTTTATGGCAAAGAAAAGGGTTGTTTTGGCCTATGTTAAACCTGAAGAAGGATTTATGAAGTCTTGCTACAAATTTGAAAAAATCTATGTTTCATGGCACAAACTCAAGAAACTCAGCAGGCGTTGGATAATGCTTGATTAAAAGTAAGGTAAAAATATTCATTGATTTTCCGCTAGTAAAATATATCCGAATTCTGCTAATTTTCAATATTTCTGATTAATATTATGATTTTTGCAGATTCGCGCAGCTGGAGGAATGCCAGGCCCGTTGCGGTGGACGTAAGTAAAAAACAACTTCAATTTCTATACGATTTTGTTAAATTAAAAATGAAACTCGCTTTTTCTCGCAAATAATGTTGATTTTATGAAGTCCTTTAAACCTCACTTGCTAGCCCATTTTTGCATTATTATTATTCAACTACTGTTGCCCACCCCCTATTTTTTGCCCCCAAAAATCGGGGATCCTCGCTGCCGAAATAATCGAGAACTACTGCCCCGCAACGAAACGTCGATACAGTACCCTGCCGTAACGTAACGTAAGCTAAAATAAGATTTTTTTTTGGTCCCTACGAGTCCTCTCAAGCCGCCAATATTTTTTTTTGCTGAATTTTTCTGTATTTTGAGGAATTTATGGGAATTTTGTGAGTTGGGTACTGTAGTTTGGATTGAAAAGGTTATCCAGAACAACCAAGCTCAAATCAAATAGGACTATTTTTTCAACCAAAAAATCATGTTCCGTGGAATTTCCTTGATCTAGAATTTTTTCGAGAATTATTATTACGCCGTACTTCTTTTCCAATTGATCAAAAAATTAATTAAATTTTCAAGTTTATACCAATTTGTTTTCCTTGCAAAATCGATGTTTCGAAAAGATTCTTTGTGATCCAGATTTACAAGCTTTCAATCTGCGGTATCCTAGGTTAAAGATAAAAAAGTTGACTTTTAAGCTACCGTACCCACCCTGAAAAATCCCAAAAATTCTTTCAAATTGTAAAACCCCGCTCTTGCCAACCCCTTTAAAATGCCGATCCCCCCCCTCTGCCACCCCTCCCACTCCAGCGGACTGCCGATTTCTACGAAATTGTGATTTTCCGGATTTTCTCCGCCTTGTTGTTCCTCTTTTCCCGAATCGTTTCGTATGCTAATTAAGTCGATTTTGCGTAATAAATTCCGAATTTTACGAGCCCGGCGGTTTTCGTTCCCTGAAAATACACCGAATCCCACATTACTTATTTTCTTTTTGTTTGCTTGTGTGATTGTTGTGTGCCATTTTTGTTTACTAATTATAACACGATGGATCCTCAAAAGTAATTATATGAAAGAAAAAAAGTGTTGCAAATTTTCGAAACATTAAGTTTTTTCCTAACAAGGTGTGCATCTATTTGTATCCCCTAACCTTATTAACCTTGATTTTGCTCGTTTGTTGTGTGCCATTTTGTTTTAATTACGCTGAGCTTTATTTTATGTCTTCGAGAGTCAACACCTATCAAAATCTAAAAAGTTTTGTTGATTTTGAAAATTTTTGAAACTTTGTTTTGCTCTCCGGGTTCTTCCAATGAAGGATCCTAACAAAATACCATGATTTTTGTGTACCCCTTCATATTATTAAGCCCGTTTTGTGTGATCTGGCTTAAAAGCACCTATTAAAACCTGAAGTTTTGTTCATCTTTGAAACGTTTTGAAACATCGTTTTTCTTTCGCACGTTTCCTATGATAACCTTACCTTTCGTGTGCTCCTAATATTATTTACCCCGCTGCTGAGTGATTTTCATTTACCAATTATTACACCAGGCTGTCTGTTTGGATTAATGCATACAAAAAGTCCTGAGTTTTGTAATATTTTGAAACATTCGGTTTTTAATAACCACCTCGATAACACGATTGTCTGATATTGTTGGTCTCCTATATGCAGGACTTGTTTTGGTGTGTCTATAATATTTTTGTAGCTTGTATTATGTTTCTGACATTTTAGTTCATTTAACCATTTATTTTTATTATTTATTTTTCGTCTGCTTTTATTTTTTGAATTTTTTCAATTTTATTTGAGTCTTAAGCAGGGTTGTTCACGGACGGGCTCGGACGGACGCGGGCCCGGACCCGTCCGCGTCCGAATAATTTGCTCCGGCAGAGCGGACGGGCTGGGACGGGTCCGGGATGGGCCGGACGGGCTCGGACGCGGGAAGTAGCCGAGCCCGCTATGCAAAGCGCGGATAGCTAAAACTAGCATGGTAATTGATAAAATGACGGTTTTTCGCGTTCTTTCCGAAGTAAAGCAGATATGTAAATCAAGAAAAGGCAACAATCGAGCTAAGATGTTAATTTGCTTGCAATGATTTTGCCTGTGCTTTCGGTCATTTGCATCGCGGGACCCGTCCCAGCCCGTCCGCATTTTTTATGCAAATTGCGCGGACGGGACGGGCCCGCGTCCCCGGGCCGGACGGACCGGACCGGACCCAAAATGAACAACCCTGGTTTTAAGGGATCGCCAAGGCCGTAGATTTTTTGATTATCGTGGATTTTTTTGAGCCGAAAGCGCAGCGCCCATCCAAGATCTTACCTTGCCCGTCCCTTTAACGAGTTAAATCCCTAATCGTGATTTTTGTGTTGTGTGGTTCATTTCTTCGTGGGTATCGACAATTAGGTTGCCGCGGATACCTAAAACAATCTTTTTCAATTCTAGCGAGTTTTGAAACATCACTTTGTTACCCGGAATTTTTCCTTATTGATTGGCACGAATTTTGCGTCTTTGAAACTTATTATTCCCGTACGGTTCTCTTTCTAATATTTTTATTTTTGCATGCTTTTTACATTTTTGTTTATTTAACCCCAACTTTCGTGCTTGGTTTAATTTAATGTGATCGCTGCATCTCTGCATGCCTGGATAGCTTTTTATGTTTTTAATCACATAGCAGCTGGGTCGAACCTAAACTTCTTCAAATATAGTGCCGAGGTACCTGATAATCTTGGCTAGTAAAAGTGACGAAACTCTTTACTTTAACGCGCGGGGTAATAGCGTTTTCCTGCGGTTATTTCATTCTGAGGAGTTTAATTACAGGTAGTGAACGCGCTTAGAACTATAATTATTAATAAATTTATTTAATTCAGGCAACGAGCAAATTTGACGTTTCTTCGTCTCAATCTTAAATGGAGAATATCACCATATTTCGAAAAAATGGAATTTTGTTGTATCGTTCGCTGTCGCTCTGGGGATTTTTGGCTGCAATTCTACCAATATTACCGCCAAAAAACAATGACGAGATCAAATATTCTTTACTCTGCTAATAGCCGTGATAAAAAACTTCAAAAAAGTGTCAGAGTTTAAAATGTGAAATTTAAAATGTTTCTTCTCACATGTGGGTTGTAAGCTTTTTAGCCGACTGTAATTGGAGACACAAGCGTGCTTTCAAAACAAATATTTTTTCTGGTTTATTTTTGCCATGGCTTTAACTTTAGTCTTTATGTTTCAGCTGCGCCAGCGCCCGCCGCGCCGCGCCGTCATCACGGAATCGCTGCCTTTATGCCTGTCAAACCCGAGCACCCTCAAGTAAGTTAAAATATTCATAAGTTTCAGAATTTGATGAAACCAAATGCTGATAAATAAAAATAACAAAAACTTAGTAAAAGGTAGTTAGTAGCGATATTCTAAATTTTTTTTGATCAGGACTTCAGGAAATCAATATCTAAAGCCTCTCATGTGGAAAAGAATCTGTTTCAAAAAAATAGACGTCGAACGAGGATAGTATTATGATAGTCATTGGATGTCTGCTTCTCGCGAACAACCTGGGATAACGGTGTGAACAAAAATTATCAAACCTCGTTCCTTACCTTGAGATTTTTATGAACTCAATAGTTGAGAGTTTTTGAGATACGGGAATCACCAAAATTATCAATAGCAGCAACTGAGTTCTCAAGGAAATATGTTCCATAAAATAGAACGCTAGCGATTATTGCCGAGTCCCTTAATTCAAGGTACGATGCGCGCGAGCTCCAGCCGAAAAGAAGGAGAATAATTTAACCGCGTTGCTCCATTTGTAGATTTTAAAATCAATGTAAACAATTTATCTACGGCCCGTTTCATGAAAATTACCAATATCAACCTTCCACATTCTCAAGAAAATATGTTTAGCAAAAAAATGCAGCCCAGACCATTCTCGCGTTCATTAATGTGTTGACGTAAGGAGGGTACTCGAAAAAATCAGTTAATCAAATTTAAAATGAACAAAGTTGCTTTTTTATATTTGCAATTTTTTTTGAGACAATGGCATATCTTTAATTTTTGATGGAGCTGTTATCAGAAGCTATAAAATCAATAGATCAGTCAATCGCATTCTCAAAAAAAATATGTTGGGCACATAATAGCAAGCCGGACATTCTGCGGTCTGATAATGAAACGGACCAGAATTGTACTTTGAAGCGCCATTTCGCAAAAACGTTAACAAATACCAAAAAATAATTTTCGTGAAATTTCTCACACCTTCGATATTATTGAATTCAATTATAAAATTATTCAGTTCCTACGACTCGCCCCACCTCAACAAGCCGATAATCTGCAGCCACAAAAGTGTCATTTGGCGCCGCAAGCCGGGCAAAAGTGCAGGTAAAAATTCGCATGAGCATTTCCGTTATAAAATAAATATTTTACAGTACGGTCAGGTAATAAAGGATCAAACCGGAATTTCGAAAGCGAAAATTAAGTTAGAGAGCGGCTACCTCTTTTTTACCTCTTTTTTTAAAACATAGTTTTACAACTTAGAGTTGCTCCAGCTTTTCACAAACGATCTTGCCCGTTCTCAATAAAGGGATGTTCAAGCGGCGGTGGATCTATATATTGGAGCCTTGATCACTCCCTTAAATATCAAGGATTTGGTACTGTGCGGTTAGTGGAGGGGGGGTTAGCAGAGGGACACTAATTTTTACTTCTCCTTCTATACCTACTTGTTAAAAAATAAATGGTGTATTTCTATAACGATTTTTTGTTGTTTTTGATTGCTAAGAACTTACAAAAAAATCCTAAAAATTCGAAAATTCGAACATTTTTATTTGAAAATTTTAGCTTTATTTATGAATTTTTACATCTAAAACCGGTGTCAAATGCTGTGAAAACGGTTTATATTTTGTGAAAAAATTTTCCCAGCTAACTCCATGGATTTTCGAATCCCCGATAAAATGCTTAGAAAATCCTATGTTTCATCTTAGCTATATAAGGCAAAATTTTCGGTCGGAACATTATGCTTTCCAGTGGAACTTTTCTTTGTTGATCAGGTTTTATTAAGTTCTAAACTTCAGGGAAGCCGAAACGATGTGGTATTTCGATGCGGCCACGCAGCGATGTCTGCAATTCTTCTACGGTGGTTGTGGCGGAAATGAGAATCGCTTCGTCACCCACGATGAATGCCAGAATGAATGCGCTCCCGTGCAGCATCAGGTTTATTTATTTCAAGGAGGCAGGAGTCACGTAAAAATATCCATAAAATATAGCCAGCCATTTTAAATACAGTAATCAAGGTCTCAAGAAACCACCTTAGGCGTCAAAACAAAAATTTGCAGCAGATGTCATTTTAAAAATTTGTGGTTTCTAACTTTAGCATTGTCAAATTTCCCTTACCACTAGGTAATTCGTACTCAAAAAGTCGCTTCTTTTCTAATTTTTCGAATTTTCAGAGTCATTTGGTTTATTTACTTCGATCACAATTATCCATAAAATTTTTTTCTTTTTCTTGTTTGACAGACTTTCCGTGAAACGCTTTTTTTTGGCAGTTTCTAAACCCGGTGAGGTATGAAAACGGCGTTTTCGAAAAATGCATCGGCATTTCGCATTTTCTTGAATTGGTCTTGTTTTTCAGAATAAAGATAGATGTGAAATATAAATTTTTTATCCAGTTGCCACCATAAATTTTTTGCTCGAGTTTCTAGCCGAGAGTAGTTTTCCGAGAAAGAATTGGCGTGTTTCACGTCATTAAGTGCACCCTAGTTGGTTGAAAAATCCGTTAAACGCTTGAAAACTGCGAATATATAATTTGCCAAAAAATGACCAAATTCAGGCGCTGACGATGCGTGCCGAATCTTCGGTTGATGAACTCGGAAATACTGAACAGCTCGAAGCTGAGGAAGAGCGAATGCAAGGAGATCAACCGAGACGACTACGTGATGATACGGACGACACGGATGAGTCACGATTTCGCGGATCCAATGGAACGGTAGATGCACAGGTGCGGATAGGGTTTTTCGTTGTCACCACGATGTACAATAAAACAAAAGTAGAAGATTCAAAGCCGCAATTTTCAAAAGTATCTTTGGATTGGAGAATTCATAATCTCTCGTCATTTGCACAAGGAGTCTATCCCAAAATAAGATCGTATTTTTTGAAAAACTTTGCAAAACCAAGTTTCATCAAAGTGCTGGCATCCATGCATTTCAAACACCGTAGTGTGAACTTCCGTTCAGCCGTCGTAAAATAACGAATCCTACCCCGACTTTCACCTCTGCAAGAGTCCTTGACACATTAATATGATTTTTATCATGAAAAGTGCAGCATTAATTATATGCCTGTTCTGGACAGTCGTCATTTTGAAAAAGCAGGTTTCATCGAAAGTATTGGCTTCGTGGGGTTTCAAAGACCCAATAGTATCACTCACTTTATCCAGAAATAACTGCCTCCTGGCTGTTCGTATTTTATAAATTTTATCTCTAATTTAGTATCTCTAAAACGTATTTAAGAGATTTAAGTCTGCACGGCAAAACGCAAACTGATCTCTGTTGACGTCAAAAATGTGTATCAGTCAGTCAGTCAAAGTATTCACCGTACGTAGCGGCTTTAATTCTACGCCTTGTCTCGAACGTCGAGTCGTAATTTTCAAAAGCAATTTTGGAAATGTTTGGCGCACAAAATCGAATTATTTTTATTTTTACTTTACTAATGTCTACAAATAATATCTATTTTTCCCCCTCTTTAATTACGATATATTGCGAAGCTCAGCCGAAGCACTTTGTTACAAAATAGCAAAAGTGTGTTTTAAAAAAGCAAGTTTATGAAAAGCTCTTTGAAAACGCAATATGCAACGGAATAAAGCAAAACTTGATTTTTTGACGCCCAAAAAATGTTTCGGCTATTGGTGATGTGGTCTGCATAACGGGGATTAATTCCTTCGAAGTCTTCTGGCATTTCCAAAAGCGTCTTTTCTGAAACACGCCAATTTCAGGATGTGGCTACGGCTGTACCGGCCGGCGCATTGCCCGATTTGTGTCTTCTGCCCGAACAGAAGGGATCGTGCTTTGGCAGCGAGTTGAAGTGGCGGTAAATATTTTATATGTTTTACTTACTCGGTTCAAACGATTTGTATTTGCTGGCTTAATTGATCCTGACTTGGATTGCAAAAATAAATGATTGCAATAAATACTAATAATTTTGTAAGATATGTTGCGAATTTATACCTATTGAATTAACGGATTAAATTCGTTATTCAGTCATTTTCACCGCTTCAATTAACAAAAAATTGACCAACAATCGGCGATTTTAAAAGGATAGCAGAGGCTATTTAGGCATCAAAATACGTGAAAAAAGAGGGAGAAATGATTAGTGTAGAAAAATAATTGCGCAATCAAAGTGACCCAGCTCGAGTGGGGAAGAAGTTTTTTTATGAAACACATTTTGTAAAGCTTCTCTTTACAAAAGTAAAGCTCTGCTTTAGCTGTCGTTGTGATTAATATTTTATGCATATTGCATTTTTATATGCGACTTTCAACGTTAGGCAACATTGTTATTGAAAAAAACTGGAAATATTTGATTTTTCGACGAAACCCACAAAATTTCAGCGTCAAATCATATGTTTTTTATTGGTTTTATTTAATTTACTTTATTTAATATTTATTTTTTTATTGGTTCATACGCTAATGAATTTTTAATTTTTAGATATAATGCTGAAACGGCGAGCTGCTTGAGCTTTATGTACACAGGATGTGATGCGAATGCTAACCATTTCGAGTCCGAGGTAAGACAAAATTTTTCGACAATGACAACAGCTATATATTTTTTCCTTTTTTTATGGTTTCATGGATCCATCCATCAGAGCCTAAATTTTGTTCTTAAGCTTCTTAGGATCAGCTTTTTTCGTAGAGCCGAATTCTCCAATGCAAGCAGCACAAGTTTTTACTAACCTGAACGTAAAACGCCGCAAATTTTATGTAAAAACACCAAGAATATCGGATTTTCGACCAAAAATCGACGATTATTGGGCCTGAATTTCGAATCGAAAATATGGTTTTATGTATTTGATAGTTTTCTAGTTGAAATATAGTTCTGTTTGACTAAAAATTCTAATAAAACACTAGCTATTGCAATACTAAGTATTTCTAGACTTGCAAAAAGCCGGTCCCCTCCCCCGATAATAGGAAAGAACCCAAATTTGGGGGTGTTTCATTTGTCACGCTTTCATCATTTTCTACAGATTCTACAAAATTATAAATTCGCAAAAAAACGGGGTTTGACTTTTCGAAATTAAATGTTTCGCCTAGGTGCAATTCCAAATTTTTGCGTTCCGGTTTAATGGCGCCCCGATATGGAAAAATTTCAGGAATCCTGCCTGCGCGCCTGCGGCCCCGCGCGCGAAGAGAAGGTTTGCGCGCTTTCGGCTTCGGTTGGAAGTTGCGAGCTGGCCGTGTCGAAGTGGAATTTCGACGCGAAGACCGGGGAGTGCAAATTGTTCATGTGGACCGGATGTGGGGGAAATCTGAATCGGTAGGCCACAGCGTTTTTAAGATATTGATTGATAAAGTATACCACGAAATTTTTTCGATAGAAATCCTTGTTTAAGATAGCTTAAATTAAACTAAAATATGTTGAGACGATAATAGAAATAAAAGTAATTTAATGAACGGAACTTAGCGTTGATGCATCAATCTCTTTCAAAAAAAATTGCATTGGAAAAATACATGAAACACTTTTTGGATAAATAGAAAAATGGGAGAGATTTGGCCTTTTAAAATAGCTTCAATTTAAGTTGCTTTTAGATTAAACTCCTGTTTTAGAAAATAATGTTTTGTAAATATGAAACTTTTATGCAGCAGATTCCAGTAAAAATTGGGGTTCAATGGCTTATTAAAAGTTTATTAAATAGGAGAAGCTGAACTAAGGATTTTTTATATTAATCCTTATTAAAAAGCTTTAATTTAACTAAGTCTGGGATTAAAAACACAACTCCTCAATCCAAAATTTTTTTTAGAAAAATGTGTTTGCAAATATTAAGGCTTGATGGGGTTGGTAACACTAACAGTCTGGATAGTCGTACAGTCTCGAGCTAAAATTGTGGAACGCTCAAAATTGGTTTCTTGAAGATGCATTAAGATTACATATTTTTAATAGTTTTTAGTATCTTTAAATATTACCTTCAAAAGGATTTGGTGTATCTTTCCTATAGACATCAACTGCTAAACATCTTAATTTCCAGCCCTAATTTTTACGGAACTTTTACAGTGTTTCGGGGTCAGGGGTAAAAACGGATTGAAACGGCCGAAGAGCTGTTGGATTGTTTTGTAAACCGACAAAATATGATTGGTTTTAATATCTATGTCAAAAATAGTTAGCAAATATCTAGTCCCATTTTGTGATCGATATGTATCAGCGAAAAAGGAACTGATCGGGTGCGCCTACATGTTAATCACAAAAAAACCCATGGAGGCTAATATTACGGTTTCTCGTTACGAAACTTCTCCGAGTATCTTACAACACTTTTACTTTTCGAGGCGCTTCGATTTTCGCGTTGCGTTGAAAAAGCCTAAAACGGACTCCGCCGTTTAACGTAACGGTGTTTCGGGGGAGTTCGGTGTAGAAACAGACCGAAACAACACAATCCTTCTCTTTCTTCTTCCTATCTTTTGTCCAAAAAACATCTAGTTCCGTTTTGTGAATGATATGTTTCAATGAAAAAAGGAGGGGCCAGCCGCGGCTAGGTATTAATTACAAAAAGATTGATGAACGCCAAAAATTCAAAATTTGAAAAAGTAACTGCCTGTATGGATCGAATTAAAGCTATAAATTAATAAAATGGGGGTAGAGGCTAACATAAATGGCAAGAAAGGCCGCTTTACGCTAAAACACCCAGTGTTTCAAATGTAGGTGCGAAAATGGAATTCAATGAGTGAATCGAATTACGGTGTGGTATTCACAATCTGCCTAAAACGATACTTTTTGACAAGAAATTCAATGTTTCGTCAACAATCCGAGGTCATTAAAACTCGTGCAAATCATTACGAGTTCATACAGGACGGTCTTATTTCAGCTTTTCATCGCGCGAAGAGTGCGAAGCGCTGTGTCGTGCCGAACAAGCATGGGCGAGTGAAGAAGACGTATGCAAAATGGGACGCGAATCGGGGCCGTGCTCGGATGCTGTCACCCAGTGGTACTACGATAAAGAGGTTGGTTCCCTTCCCGGACTTATTTTCAAACGAAACCGGCGATGTTGCGAACATTTGAAACATGCTAATTTCATTTGAAAAATCATCATTTGCTCCTATTTCAAGCTTCCGGAAACCGATCTGGCTTCGGAAGCGATCCGGCTGGCATTTAGATCCAGAAGAACTGAAAAAAGAAAATTTTTTCCGGGGAAATGTCTCAAAAAATGTGTTTTGACTAGCCATGTCGATACATGGAATTCATGAAACCTTAGTTATCTTTCACCCATGAATTCTTAATCAAACCTTTTTTATTTTTCCCCATTTTCCACAACCGTGTCATAACAACGAAATATAATCGTTTCTTACTGTCTTTTTGGATAACATTCTTTTTCAACCCGTACTAGCCTCCAAAAAGTCTGTTAAAAATAAACATTCTATTAAATTATAAACAAATCATTAAATTATGTTCATGGATAAATAAGCTTTTATTCATTAAGGGACACGATTACGACATCTTTATGGCGATAACCGTATGAAAAATCAGTTCGGACAAAAAATGTTTCGCCTAAAAGTGGTGTTTTGTGCGGTCCCCGTGGTTCAATTACTGAACAGTGGCAGCAGGGGCGTAGCCAGAAAAAATTTCGGGGGGCCCCCAAAAATTTTTTCCGAAAAAACTCAAAACATTAACGAAAAAACATCGTCGCAAACAAAATTTTTTGAAAAAAAGGCTGAATAGCTCTCCAAATAGCGGTAAAAACGTGAAAAAAATAGCGCCGCAGCCAGCAAAATTTTTGAGAAAATAAAAATCATAAGGGTCCCCCCTTATGAAATTTTCGGGCCCCGGCCGATTTCGGGAGGGGGGGGGGCGGCGGGCCCCCGGGGCCGGTATTACGCTACGTCCCTGAGTAGCAATCAGTTAAAATCCTAATTAAATTGATAATTTAAACCCACTTGATTTTTCCCTTAAAATTGGCAGTACCTGAGAAAAATTACGACCGAAAGGAGACCGAAAGATTCGTAAAAAATGTTTCATCCAGTTTTGTAACCAATAAGGCTCTGTGGCTGGCATTCCTCCCACCCTCTCCGTGAAACATATTGATTTCCAGATCTCCGGGTGCCGTCAATTTACCTATGGGGTGGATGCCGCGGAAACGGGAATCGCTTCGACACGCGCGAGCAGTGCGAGGGGAAATGTGCGCCAAAGATGCAGGCGCTTACGCTATTTGAGCCAAATGGTACGGTTCATTCTTGTATATTTAATTTAATCTCTGATTTTGGAATCATTTATTTAATTTAATATTTAATTTGAAGGGGATGAAAAATATATAAGCCTTAAAGTTATGGAAAATTTTGAAATTAACAGACAGGATTTACTTTCATAAAAAACAAGAAATTTCTTATTAGAAAAACATTTAATTAGTGAAAATTTTTTAATTTGATTTTTAATTAAAGCTTGCTAAGCTTACATACATTACTTTACTTTACAAAATGCAAGCTTTTTAAATGATTAATTTTTCCACCGCCCACAACGTACAAAACCAAAAATTTAATTTCCCGTTTTCCGTAATTATTGGGGCCAGCCTGTCCTTGAGATCCGCTAAACCCAATCTGGCTGAAAAAATGATAAAGCTATAAAAGCCCTTCTCTGACGTCGGGCCCAATTTGGATAATGCAATACTCAAATCTTTTCAAAAAAGATATTCCGGGTGAATTCCGGAATTTTTTGGACAGCATGGTCCAGTCACCCACTAAAAGTTCGACTCGTCACGCATAGACTCTTTAGAGCGAAACATTTTTCCTTAACAAAATGCTCTGGTTTTTCAGACGTTTGCGCACTCACCTGGGAGGGAGGACCATGCCCTGGGGAGGAGCCCCGCTTCTTCTTCGACAAGAATTCCGGCAGATGCCGTCCGTTCGTCTACGGTGGTGGATGTGAGGGCAACCGAAATAAGTAAGAAATTTAATGTATAAGTTGAAGCCCGAAGGAAATCCCAAGGAAATGAGTCCAAAAACCCAAAAAATACGGCGTCTTCAGTTAAAAAAATTTTTTTTGACTATGTTCAAAGACGGAAATTTTTTCGGCGCAGCAGTTAAGCGGGTTTATCGTAGTTTTTTATATGGCATCTTTTCATGTGGTAACTTAACGCTAGAAAACACTCGAAACTCGTCGAAAAATTCGTGTAATGAAAGTAAGGTTTTCCATCAAGGTAAAATGTGTTTCATACCTTCGCCTGCTGTGTATCAGCAAACTTTGCAGAATGATTATCAGTGCTTCTGCATAAACATTTACCCAAAAATGCCTATTAACTAATATTAACTATTTTAATAACGTTTATAATAAAATTTAACCCTCTTCAAATGGAAAACTATCTAATAACTCTAAAAAAGGTCTAAAAATCCGAGATTTGGGTCTAAATCTAGATAATTTAGTATTTTCCAATAGAAGTCTATAAGATTTTGCATTTAGTAATAGTAAAACCATAGGTTAAATTATATAAATTAATACATTACACTCCAGCTTCCACTCGTTGATGGACTGCGAGCACGCGTGCGGGAAGCCGGAAAATCTGAGGGAGGAGCGCAGGATTTCTCTGTCGACCCAACGGCCAGGGCCATTCCATATTGGCGAGGAGGTGAGCCGAGAACTTTGGGAACGAGAGAGCGAGAGAGAGAGAGAGAGAGAGAGAGAGTGAGAGTGCGAGAGAGAGTGAGTGAAAAGATGTGAAAAGTGAAAAGAAGAAAAAGAGAGAGTGAGTGACCACTCTGTTTTAGTAAAGCAATTAATTTGAATATTTATCGTCTACGGTTTCGCACCGTCCATATTTTAAAGAGCCAGTCGGCGGCCAGAGATTGCTTATTTTAAAAAATAAACAAAAATAAAAATATAAGAACTTACTTTAAAATTGGAAAGTTTAATGTTTCGCTTTTGCATCATAACCAATCACACAAATTCGTTTTGAACAGTTAGTTACGCAAAGTTTGTTTTTGGAACTAGGAAATTAGATGAAATCTAGAAATTCTTGAAAAGCTGTATTAACATTTATAATTTTTTCGCTTCCTGTCGACAACAAAACAATAAATACAACGTGCGCCACCGATGTTTGCGAAGAATTATAACCATTTTTTGGAATTTAAGAGTTTTAATCCTACTATATATAAAAAAATAGTTCCTGTGTGTGTGTGTGTGTATGTATGTGTGTGCATTTGCATGCAACTTCCGTCAGCGTGTTCCAATAGTATCTCAAGTAGGGAAGTACTTAGGGGTATGTTCGATACGTCATTAGGTGCGTAATGGGCTAGAGATGACTGCACACATATCAAATTTTACAAAATATGATGTTTTCGACATTAAAATTCAGTTTTTCATGGAAAAACGGACAACCTACTTTGTTAGGATCAAATTAGCATGCACCGGAAGTCGCGGTAGCCTATATAAAGGGACGGCAAGAGCATTTTTCAGTTTTGGTCATCCGAACCCGGGAACATTATGCAAAGCCAAGAATATCATTGGAGAAGACGGGGCCAAGGTTGAAAAGCCGCGAAGCGGTTTTTCAACCCTGGTTTAATTTTAATTTTAGTAATCTGAATTGACCTAAATTCGATTTGGTAATCACAATTGCATTCATGATGCAAGATGAAGATACTAAACGAAATTCAGCCATCCTTGCCTGGGCAATCGGTGAAGCATGTATTTTCAAAAATTCTGGAAGCTAGTGAATTTTTACTAATGTGTGGCAGTACGATTGTCAACACTAACGCTCGAGAATTTTGGCATCCTTTTGCCAGCAGTGAAACACGATTTTTTGGACGTGTTTTATGGAAATTTGTTTACTGAAAAAAATCAGATATGTTGGAATTATGATGTTTCAGTCCTATGTAAAAATCGAGTAAAATATTCGGTAATAATTAGAAATACATCAAACAGTTTGATTCAAACTTGAGAAAATTCTGGAGCAACTTGTATAACATATATATTTTTATCGCTCCATGAATTCAGATAAAAACTCTCAGAAAAACTACATTAAAAATAAAAGTGGTCTGGAGTTATAATTTATACTTTGTATCGCAGAAAGTGTTTAACATTATCCATTTTTCAGGTGCTACTCGCCTGCCATGCCGACGGTGAGGTGCCAATTCTGTGGTTCAAGGATGGACAATTGCTCGTATTCTCCACCAGGATTGTAGTACGTTTTATTAAAGGTTTTATTAAATACCGGAATATTCCAAGAAACAACTATTTTTTTGTTGAAATTGATGTTCCAAAATATTCCAGTTACTGTTTGGGGCTTTTTCCCCCGACAGTGTCTTTCGTTTTTTATCGCATTTATATGTATTTTTGAAGGTTGTGGAGATCAAACGGGTTATAACTATATCAAAAGGCAAGATTAGAAATATTTTTATTTGAAATTCAGGAAAAGAAAATAGATTTTCTGAATTTCCAAAAAAAATATTTATTTCTAACCAGGGTTGAAAAGCCGCTTCGCGACTTTTCAACCCTGGCCCCGTCCAACCCAATGAAAGTTTACACTTTGCATAATTCGGCACGACCCACGCTGAAAAAAAGTGAAAAACGCGCTCTCTGCTACTTTATCTAGGCTCACCGCCATTTCCGGTATATGCTAATTGATTCCTAACAAAGATGGTGTCAGATTTTTCAACAAAAACCAAAATTTAATGTCGAAAATAGACGAATTTGATAAATCTGATGTGTGTGCAGTCATCTCCTGGACATTATACACCTAATGACGTATCAAACATACCCCTAACTACTCTCCTTCTTGAGATACGACTGGAACAACCTGACGGAAGTTGCATGCAAAATGTCATACACACACACACAAACACTATTTTTTTTATATATAGTAGGATCTTGCCTTCCGATGTAGTCGTAACCTGTTTCGTCTCGTGATCCTGTAAAAATGTTTATAATTGCGGTTCTGGTTCGTTAGCGGGCGTGGGGGTATCGGGGGGAGGCTTATTGTCTTAGATTTTTCAAAATTTCGATATTGAAAAGGGTCTACGTTAAAAATGCGATGCGGTAGAGCTTTAAAAAACATACAAAGCGTTCATTCAAAATCTATTGCTCAATAGCTGTGGCAAAGACATTATAACATATTTTAAGTTGAAAAATGGTGATGATAGAAATATTCTTACCTTGAAGCCTAGCAAAATGGTGTCAAGATGTAATGAAATATATCCGGGCTGGATGAAACATTTTTGAAGACAGTTAAATCAATTTTGCATACACTACCGAGTACAAATTCACCTTGAGAGCTTCACAAATAAGCGCTGCAACCCTGCCACTTAATTCCAAGAAGCACTTTATTATTGATTAGACATAAAAAATTTTGGATGTAGCAGGGTTTCCTGAAACATCTTTGAAAATAGCGCCAGACTTACTTTTCGGCTTCAGCCTAATACCTCTAAAATCGACTTGAGAACTTCGTAAATAACCACTGCTAGCTTGCCAGCAGATTATCAAGTGCGCATTTTCCAGCTTACTTTTAACTGTTAAAACATTTTTGGAATGAAATGTAGCGTAAACTTATAGGATAAATATAGAAATAAGAAAAAAGCTGTGTCATGAAATCTACTATAATAATTTTCTTGAGGTGTCTGTGTGTGTGTGTGTGTGTGTGTGTGTGTGTGTGTGTGTGTGTGTGTGTGTGTGTGTGTGTGTGTGTGTGTGTGTGTGTGTGTGTGTGTGTGTGTGTGTGTGTGTGTGTGTGTGTGTGTGTGTGTGTGTGTGTGTGTGTGTGTGTGTGTGTGTGTGTGTGTGTGTGTGTGTGTGTGTGTGTGTGTGTGTGTGTGTGTGTGTGTGTGTGTGTGTGTGTGTGTGTGTGTGTGTGTGTGTGTGTGTGTGTGTGTGTGTGTGTGTGTGTGTGTGTGTGTGTGTGTGTGTGTGTGGTGTGTGTGTGTGTGTGTGTGTGTGTGTGTGTGTGTGTGTGTGTGTGTGTGTGTGTGTGTGTGTGTGTGTGTGTGTGTGTGTGTGTGTGTGTGTGTGTGTGTGTGTGTGTGTGTGTGTGTGTGTGTGTGTGTGTGTGTGTGTGTGTGTGTGTGTGTGTGTGTGTGTGTGTGTGTGTGTGTGTGTGTGTGTGTGTGTGTGTGTGTGTGTGTGTGTGTGTGTGTGTGTGTGTGTGTGTGTGTGTGTGTGTGTGTGTGTAGAAACAGTGTGTGTGTGTGTGTGTGTGTGTGTGTGTGTGTGTGTGTGTGTGTGTGTGTGTGTGTGTGTGTGTGTGTGTGTGTGTGTGTGTGTGTGTGTGTGTGTGTGTGAGGTGTGGTGTGGTGTGTGTGTGTGTGTGTGTGTGGTGTGGTGTGTGAGTGTGTGTGTGTGTGTGTGTGTGTGTGTGTGTGTGTGTGTGTGTGTGTGTGTGTGTGTGTGTGTGTGTGTGTGTGTGTGTGTGTGTGTGTGTGTGTGTGTGTGTCCGGTCCCGGATTCAACTCGAAGGGGAAAGGAGCCAGAGCTTAGGTCTCTTCGGATTCGGATAGAGCGCGGTCAGAAACCCCCAAACTGATAAAAAGGTTTACGAAACTCTTAGTTTAACATTAGCCAAAATTAACTTTGAAAGTTTTTTGCCTTAGTAAAAGGCGGGGGACGGAGGTTTGCCCGATTCCGGACATAGTGAGCCAGGTCGCGCGCGTTTCGGCCAGGGGGAGGGCGCACAGGGGGCAGCCCGAAGTCCAGCCGCTTGCAGCGGCGAAGCCGCTGGAAGCGGCTGGTTCTACATAAAAAACATTTTAAAAATTCCATTGAAAACGAAATCTCACTAAATTTTCCTGAATTTAGTTATCCCTGTTGTAAGCTGAAACACGTTTCCCACAAAACGACTGTCGCGATTTTTTACAATAAATACGATGGAAGCTAATAATTGGCCCGAGATTTATCAGTTCTAAACTGACCGCTGGCTTTCCCAAATAATCACTGCTAGGTTTCCATGAGCTGAAAAATGCAATTAATGTTGATCGTCGATATCGACGATTAATCGGAAAATGGATGTTCGATAAATAGAAATTACGTAAAACACAAAAAATTAAATAGAATTGAACTTTTAGCCCAAATTAAATCGTTTAGCGATTAAAATTTGGCGTTAGACGTTTCTAAATAATCAATGCCAGGTCTCTGGTAAATTGTTGTTCTTGATTGGGAAAGAAAGACATTTCAATAAGCTAATGTACGTCTTTTAATAATTTTAGTATCTCTGTAACGTTGAGACACGCTGATGTCGACAGACAGCAGAATTAAATATCTGTAAACATCCTTGTTCCGATATCCTAAAGAAACACATGGATTTTTTAGGGCAACGCTGACCTGTCACTAGTGCGTATCGGTGAGGCTGAGCTTGCTGATGCCGGGGAATACACGTGTGCTGTTGGGCCGAACGGGTTGCTATCCGATCGGATGATGCTCAAGGTTACCGGTAGGTGTTTGCGATTAAATGGGGGTCTTTAAAAGGACCAGGAAGTAAAATCCATACGCTCAGTACCGGAACAATTGGTCAAAAAAAATAATGAAATACTGCCTATAACTTCCAAATTGATTTCTTTTCACTTAATGAAACTCGAATCATGTTTTTTAACTTTTCACAAATTTTAGAGTTTAATTGGAATGGTTTTTAGAAAATTCGTTTCGGAAAAGTTCGGAAAATGGCCAGTATTTGATAGCAAAGTTTTGGAAAAGAAAATTAAATGAGACGACTGAGTTTTGAAGCATTCGAATTTCTGGACTGCTAATTGCATATCGTACTGCGCACCAGTCCACATTTTTCGATATCAGCGGTTTCGGGCCAATTTTTATAAATAAAACGACTTAAATGATTAAAACGGCGCGAAAATTCGAGAAATAGCGTTAGGGTTTGCGATTCTCGCATTCTTACCGAATTGCTTACTACTTTAAGCCAGGTAATTAGGATGCGCATTGCGTATGGCGGTGCGGCAAAGTTTATTGTTGAATATAAACAAAAATAAAGCATGTTTTCTTCCTAAAATTCATGATTCAAAAGTTTTGGGTAAAAGG